AGCTTAGCTTAGCACAAAGGCCGGGAACAAGAAGAAACAGCTATCCTGCCTCTGAACCTTCCTTCTAAAATGGTTTGAGTAACTTTTAGAGGCCGGAATGGGTCTTTATTTTACAAGAAAAAAGGTAAGTCACCTATTTTTATATAAAATACATATGGTTATCTCCTATCTGGCTAAAATCTTGTAACCCCTGAGATTACCATGTGTAGCTGACAGGCTTTCTACCGAGGGACTGGATTAGTTTTGGTACCAAAGCTTTCATCGCATACTGGGTTAGGGAAAACAACAGGTCAAAAAGTCAGTGTTGTCCTTCAGCAATATGAAATTGAGATGCATCTTGTCTGGCTAACACCAGCAGTACCATATTCTCTTTTGCAAGTATACAAGCTGGAGTTTAATCTGTGCAATCCACAGCTGAACTAGCATCGTCCTGTCATTTGTTTTGGAGTCAGTCTCATTCAAAGTCAGAAGTGTCGGAAACACTCCCTAATATAAAGGAGTTATGAAGGAAAACTGCCTCCACTCAGTCCCGTCCTCTTAAATGGACAATAATTGAATGGCCATAAAAATGGTACGCTCGTTTATATTGGCTATTAAAAACGTGCACTCTTTTTAATGAGCACTAAAGTAGACACCCCCATTAGCGTTCTCTCTCTCTCTCTCTCCTTCTAATCCTCAGCTACACAGCCTCAGAGTGGTCACTGCACTCCTAACATTAAACTCTGGAGTGGAGGGAAGTGAGTTTAATACACAGACACACAGACACAGACACACACACACACACACAGAAGCAAGGCTTCATCTTCTCTTCATGACTTAGAACCCAGAGGAAACAAACTTGCAATGTGTCAGTTGACTTTTGATGAACTGCAGAGCATCTTCTCTCACATCTCATCTCTGATGATTGGTGTCCTGAGGAATGCACAAACTCTTATACAATAAAGCTAAGAGAAAAAAAGGGGGTAGGGGAGGGGGGCAACTACAGCAGCCATGCAATGCCACGGTCCTTGATTAAAATGCTAGCAGTTGCACTCAAGTTCAGTTTTGCTGCTTCTTGTCATAAAAGCTTTGCTTTCTTTGTAAAGCTGTACTGAGCAACTTCGCTTGTTGGTACCTCGAATATGGCAGCCAGAGACAACTCTTTTTGAGGGCTTCTATATTCAAAAATCCTTTAAGGTGATGTAAACTACACACAATCTAATAATTTTTTTTTGCCAACCTCCATTCTAAAGAAGACCAAAAGAAGTAAAGATCCATTATTGGTGAGTCCAACTTTCCTGCTGAGGAGATATTTTATATTTCATTCTTCATTTCTTCTGCGTAGAGAAAATGTCCCGTCTGTGTGCACACCTGACACCTGAATTTCTAACTGTAGAATTTCACCAGAAATTCTTTCTATTAGTAGATAAGACACTCCTATCTGCTGCAGACCCCACATTTTGATTTTAAAATCACCTAGCACAGCTTTATCTAGCTTTTTATTTAGAAAAAAAAACCTTCCAAAAACTACAAGAGCCTTCATTGTACAAAATTCTTGTAATGTCATTAAAGGATGTTGGGTGGAGAGGAGAGGCTCAAAAAGTCAAGCATGAGTCCTACTTCCAGTCCTCTGATTTTTAGGAAAGGTGACGGTGTTATTCAGGTTGTGTGATTCCCTGACTAGCCTGGTCTAAATCCTGGTCTATCAGATGGTCTACTGTTGTTGTGGCGTTGGTGGGTGTTTGGCAGCCAGCGCTCCTCGCTCCTCCTGGCTCAGTAACAAGCTCCTTGTGTCTGGGTACTGGCTGTTGTCAAAAGGCATATGGTGGACACTCTGGACGTGCGTCTTTAGGTTCCCTTTCTGAGAGGCTCGGTATGGGCAGAGCTGGCAGCAGAATGGCCTCTCCCCTGAGGAACACACACACGACACACATGAAGTTGAAAGGTCAGGTGAAAGCCAGAGAGGACGTCATGCCCAGAACTTGGAGACATTTTGGATAATTCTGAATATACAGGGGATTTAACAAGACACAACGATGTAAGCGCGGACGAGACTCGCTGCAGTGGAAACAAAAAAGGGGGAGAAAAAAGCAAACACAGACAAACATAAACCAAGACACATGATGGCATTCAACTAGAAATAGGGAAACATTATGCAGGTCAAGAGCAGCATTCACATTTAATTTTTTACACCTAATTTCACCTAAACAGTGAACTTTCTCTATCCTGACCCAGATGGACTAACTCTTCTTTTCTCTTTTCTGCCATCTAGAGAAGAGCACCACACATCCGCTGTCTGAACAGTCCTACTTTTGTCTCCATATATTTCTCTCAATCACCTGGGCCACCCTACACCCCCACACATACACTCAAACACACTCCATGCACACCCTATAGTCTCTCTTCTAATTAGACTGACCTACAATGGCACAGACACCTCGGCAAAAATATAAAAAAAAATAATATAGGAATAAGACACACCTGAACAAAACAAATGAGATTGCCATTTAATTGCACCTAATTATCATTTTGATAAATGGAAGAGTATCAAAGCGGGAAAACAAATGACTCCCCGTGCCCCTCCCGCACCCCTCTCCCTAAAGAAGAAACAAGGAAATATAGCTGTTATCATACATCATCAGAAACACAACAGAGAGAAAGAAGGGGGGGGGGGGGGGGGGGGGGG